AGAGGTGCAGAACATGTAGAATATCATTGGACATTTCAGTGTTAAATTAAGTTTATGTCAACGTAGTTATGGAAATTTCTTTGTTACCAGAAATTTTTTTGTTTTAATGAAGTTATGACATTTTTTTAATTCCCTGATGTGTCTAAACGTACACATGAAATTCCTGACATTGCTTTTATACAAAGAAAATTTTCTAAAAAAATTATGTGTAATAACCAGTGTTTGGTTTAACGCATGAGAAACAGAAAATTATTTCTTCATCCTTTACTGACACACTTTCATCATTTTTAAAGGTGATTCGACGTTTGAGAGAAAGAGGAGAACCAATAAGATTGTTTGGTGAAAGTGATGAAGAAGCTTGTCAGAGACTGAGGTTACCATAAAAAAATTAAAAAAAATAAATTTTATTGAATTTGTGAAATACATCTTTGTAAACTATGACTCTTTAAGATAGACAATTTTCTTCTTTCTGCAGGAGAATTGAGATGCTTGCTCCAGAGATTAACAAGGTATGCTCTTAGAATCATGGAAGGAGTAAAATGAATACATCTGTATATTGTAGACACTGTAATAGTAGGATGTTATTGGGAATGTCTTACATCTTTAATTTGTGAGTTAATAGAAATCCTTTGTCCTTTTTTTACTAAACTTGCTATAAACATTGTACTATTTGAAAATTAGTCATGCTTAGCAGTTTCTTATGTGTTTACCAGGGTCTAAGGAATGACTTCAAGGCTGCTATGGAAAAGATTGATCAAGAATATTTAGCAGAGCTGATCAAGCAACAGGTCTGTCATACTCTCTGTATGAAATATTTTCTCATGAAAGATGAGAATTTACTCAAGAGATTCTAAGTTAACCCATTTGCTCCAGGAAATGTTGCCAAAAGATGCCTTTTGAAGATAGTAAGTATCACTTTCTGGTCCCTCTCCTCCTAAAATGAAACAAAATGGCCCAAAATGTTGTTTATACGTTTATCACTTCACAGCCTTCTGTTTCTGATGCTACATGTCAGCTTCTAAAGTTCAGGCATGCACAGAAAGCAAAATATTTGTCAGACACTTACACCTTGCACATTCTCGTTCTCCTCTTCTTTTCCTTTTCTTTTCTTACCTCATATTTTTTTGCTGGACATTAACCAGGCTTCATATTTGGTAGGAAAAGGGTTTGGGAAAACTTTCGTGATTGTAGCATTAGATGGAATAAAGTGCAGGTGGATAGTGGGTGGGTAGTGGTTACTGTTTTTTTTTGCATTTTTCTCTGGGCCGTTGAACTGAATCATGCTCATTTGGGTATGGTGAGAAAGATCTCTTCCCCCTGCTCAAGTTGGATGTCAAAGTTGTTGGTGACTGTTAAAACTTTTAAAATCACAAGTGGTAGAAGGGACGTACATCCCTACCAGTGGTTATGGGTGGTTCAGGTGTGTTCATGGGTTAAGATCTCAGGCAACAGAACTGTTTCCTTTGCTGTCACTAAGAGGGAAGTGTTCAGTGGCTGTGGAAAAAATGCTTAATTCTCATCATTGTTAAGGCTATATGTTGGCTGTTAAGTGGGTGTGTCGTGGCTGTTTAATATGGTTCATTCTGTTAGTGTTGCCAATTGCATGTCCCCCTACACACTATGGAACTTAAATGATAGAGAAGAAATTACCTATAAAATGACAAAATAACAGCTTCTCCTGTCAAATGGTTATGTCTCCCAAGCAATATCAAACTTTATAAACAACAAAAGAGAACTTAGAAAAACTGTTAGGCTAACGAGTTTGTAAAATCCTCAATTATACAGTATATTGCAATTCATTTTAATTTTCAAAAAATTGTCTATCTGTGCCCTCTTTTTTATTTTAATTTACTGTGTTATTTATTATACCTTCTTTCAAAGCTTTTAGCAGTATTTTTATATTTCACTTGGTTGGTGTTAGCTGTGACCGTCGAATTTTGATAATTTTCCTGACTCATCTCTTTTACAGTGTAAGCTGTGCACATTTGACACTTCTGATAATACAAAATTAAGATCATGTTTTTCCTTCACGTAGGGTGGGGAGGAGCAAACTAATGAAAATGAAGAGTCATCACAAGCAGAAGATGATGGAACAACTCTTGAAGATATCAAGGTAAAAAAAATGTAATTTCTTTCCCATGCAGTTTTCCTTCTAAAGTTTCTGATTTGTGTGAGTAATTAATATTCGCAAATTATGTTATGTTAATAAATTTTTTGTTCCTCTCACTATTCTGTACAAATTAATGGATTTCATAGCAAAAAAAATAGATAATACTATTCTATATAAAAATTCAAGATACAACGTATATAATCTAATCTAAACTTATCAAACAAGTTAAATAATAAAATGATCATCAGACTCTTGATCATTTATTTATTTATTTTGTATCATAGAGGGCCACAAGTTTATTAGCTGTGGCTATTTGGTGTCAACCCTCTTTTAATTTAAATAAAGTCTTCATCTTATCTTATTGTACATGCATGAATGTACACTCAAGTACATGTATCAATATTGGAAAGAATGACAAGTAAATTTTATGTGTTGTCAGTTTGAAAGACAAGCAGAAGCAGTTGTAACTCAATAAGGCTCTGATAACTCATACACATAACTTGTATAAAAATAGTAACAAACAGTTTTGACTTTACAGAGTTTGGCCATTAACATGGGCAAAGGCGATGAAAGCCTGGATCAAGATGTTATATTAAAGTTTATACAGGTTTGTTAATTTGTCAAACACCTTTTTAAGTCAAAAAAAGAAATGAGTTTTCCCTTTTTGCTGAGTAACAAACTACCGGTAAATCTTTTCACAGTTCCTCCTTCATCTTTGGGCAAAAGATTATAAGACAAGATCTGAAGATAGCAAGAGAAGCTTGGAGGTAACTAGATAAGAACAGTCAAAGCCTGTTGACTCGGACACTGACGGGGTCATAAAAAGTGTCCGTATTAACGGGATGTCCATATTAAGCACATAGAATTTAGAAAAAAATGTAAGAGTTTTTTCCCCAGGGACAAAGCAAACTGTCCATAATAATAATGAGGTGTCCATATTAAGCAAGTGTCCGCAAAGGCGGGTTTGACTGTAATAAGTTTAAAATTTTACTCAAGTCTTAGAGCCCTGCATTTGTCTTTTGTGCTGATAGTAGTAATTTATAGTGAAAAGCTTTGACTGCGAGCCATGTCCAGCCCTGGCCATGAAATCCAGAGTTTCTTCACTTCTTACTTAGTTCCACACTTCTCAGAGGTGTGGAAGTGTGGAGTAGTCTGGCAAAGTAAGGATATTGTCGCATTTTTCCCCCAGTCATGAACCCTTTGTCATTCTTTACTTTGTTCCACACTTCTCAGAGGTCTGGAAGTGTGGAATAGTGTAACAAACTAAGGATATTGTCGCACTTTCCCCCAGTCATGAACCCTTTGTCATTCTTTACTTAGTTCTACACTTCCCAGAGGTCTGGAAGTGTGGAATAGTGTGACAAACTAAGGATATTGTCGCACTTTCCCCCAGTCATGAACCCTTTGTCATTCTTTACTTAGTTCTACACTTCCCAGAGGTCTGGAAGTGTGGAAAAGTGCGACAAAGTAAGGATATTGTCGCACTTTCCCCCAGTCATGAACCCTTTGTCATTCTTTACTTAGTTCTACACTTCCCAGAGGTCTGGAAGTGTGGAAAAGTCCGACAAAGTAAGGATATTGTCGCACTTTCCCCCAGTCATGAACCCTTTGTCATTCTTTACTTAGTTCTATACTTCTCGGAGGTCTGGAAGTGTGGAAAAGTCCGACAAACTAAGGATATTGTCGCACTTTCCCCCAGTCATGAACCCTTTGTCATTCTTTACTTAGTTCTACACTTCTCAGAGGTGTGGAAGTGTGGAATAGTGTGACAAACTAAGGATATTGTCGCACTTTCCCCCAGTCATGAACCCTTTGTCATTCTTTACTTAGTTCTACACTTCCCAGAGGTCTGGAAGTGTGAAAAAAGTCCGACAAAGTAAGGATATTGTCGCACTTTCCCCCAGTCATGAGCCCTTTGTTATTCTTTACTTAGTTCCACACTTCTCAGAGGTCTGGAAGTGTGGAATAGTGTGACAAACTAAGGATATTGTCGCACTTTTCCCCCAGTCATGGACCCCTTGTCATTCTTTACTTAGTTCCACACTTCTCAGAGGTCTGGAAGTGTGGAATAGTGTAACAAACTAAGGATATTGTCGCACTTTTCCCCCAGTCATGGACCCCTTGTCATTCTTTACTTTGTTCCACACTTCTCAGAGGTCTGGAAGTGTGGAATAGTGTAACAAACTAAGGATATTGTCGCACTTTTCCCCCAGTCATGAACCCCTTGTCATTCTTTACCTTGTTCCACACTTCTCAGAGGTGTGGAAGTGTGGAAAAGTCTGACAAAGTAAGGATATTGTCGCACTTTTCCCCCAGTCATGAACCCCTTGTCATTCTTTACCTTGTTCCACACTTCTCAGAGGTGTGGAAGTGTGGAAAAGTCTGACAAAGTAAGGATATTGTCGCACTTTTCCCCCTGTTAAGAACCCCTTGTCATTCTTTACTTAGTTCCACACTTCTCGGAGGTGTGGAAGGGTAGAATTGTCTGACAACTTGAGTTTAATGTCGCACTTTCCCGGAGTCACGAGAAGCTCAGTGCGCTTCATGAGCACTTGGTTTTATTTCTGTATGGTTTTTTACATTATTCCTTAAGAACTATTTTTATTTTGAATAGCGGATATAACCATTGTTTCAATGCCAGCTGTTGAAAGAAACTTAAAGTTAAGAAATCTGATCTCCAACCAAGCTTTCTTCCTTATCAGTACGGGTTCAAATTTGATCATTGTTAGATCACGCCATATATCCACTGTTTCGTAGTTTTTCCTCTTCTCTAAGGTTATGTAAATGCTGAACATAAATTATGAAAAAGACGAAGTGTCCTCTGTTCATTTTCCTTGTCATGTTTGCATATTTTGACAGCCAAGAGAAGGTCTGCTCGCAAACTTCTGTGTCAATCTGTTGGTGAAACACAAAGAGGTCAGATGACAACATCAGAACGTTTGTATATCGCTTCATGTTAGAAGAGAAGGGTGGACCATGCAATTGATTAGAGCATTTATAAACTTTATCAAGTTGATCTTAAAGCGAGGAAGATGGAACGCACATACTCTGCATTCTTTACTGCCTATTTTTAGCGTTGTCACGATCTTAAGAGACCTGTCTCCACTAACTCAAAGTTGTACCCAATTGAAAGCTCCCGAGGTAAAGATTCTTTGTGTATTGTATTTGCGTTATAATGTGGCATTCACATTTAAATGATATGGAAATTCCTAAAACAAAACGATTTATACCCAAAGGGTTTGAATTGGGTACAACATTTAGTTAGCGGAATAGGTCTATAGGAAGGAGAAAACCCAGAATAAGACGTCTCATATATGGCACGTTAAGATGAAAACTTTCAAACATAAAAATAGATGAGATGACGTTGTTGAGGTTTCCGTTGAAAAATAAATAAATAAATAAACGAAGATAAAGGACTGACGGGGACTTCGTGACAGAGAAAACGTAGGCTGGTTTTATGGTCGGGTATTCAAACAGATGGCAGTGAAACAAGGCTAATATCTTCTAGTCACAGAATTGTTGTCTAAACTTAAAAATAGTATTTAAAAAGATGTAAAACGAGTTGCAGGAATAAAACCAACAAATACTCCCACTGCGCTGTATTCTCATTTCATACATAGGAGTGTAACTAAGGAAAGAATGTCAAGGGATTTGTGACTGGGGGGAAAGTGCGACAATATCCTGACTCTGTCAGACTATTTCATACTTCCACACCTCTGAGAAGTGTAGAACTAAGTAAACAATGACAGTGGTTTCGTATGACCAGGGGAAAAGTGTGACATTATCCTGACTTTGTCAGACTCTTCCACACTTCAAGACCTCTGAGAAGTGTAGAACTAAGTAAAGAATGACAAGGGGTTCCTAACAGGGGGAAAAGTGCGACAATATCCTTACTTTGTCAGACTTTTCCACACTTCCGGACCTCTGAGAAGTGTGGAACTAAGTAAAGAATGACAAAGAGTTCATGACTGGGGGAAAAGTGCGACAATATCCTTACTTTGTCAGACTTTTCCACACTTCCAGACCTCTGAGAAGTGTGGAACTAAGTTAAGAATGACAAAGGGTTCATGACTGGAGGAAAAATGCGACAATATCCTTACTTTGTCGGACTATTCCACACTTCCACACCTCTGAGAAGTGTGGAACTAAGTAAAGAATGACAAAGGGTTCATGACTGGGGGAAAAGTGCGACAATATCCTTACTTTGATAGACTTTTCCACACTTCCAGACCTCTGTGAAATGTGTGACTAAGTCAAGATTGACAAGGGATGAGGGCCTCTGAGAAAAGGGTGACATTATACTATTCCACACTTCCACACCTCTGAGAAGTGTGGAACTAAGTAAAGAATGACAAAGGGTTCATGACTGGGGGAAAAGTGCGACAATATCCTTACTTTGTTAGACTTTTCCACACTTCCAGACCTCTGAGAAGTGTGGAACTAAGTCAAGAATGACAAGGGGTTAGTGCCTATGAGAAAAGGGTGACATTATCCTGAGTTTGTCAGACTTTTCCGCACTTCCACACCTCGATCTGAGAAGTGTGGAACTAAGGATGAAAAAGGAAAGTAGGGATCTTGTGGCCAGCACTGGACATTTGTGTTGACTGCCCCACTGGGTTTTAGCTACTCTGTCAGAGTACTTCCTATAATTATAATATAATCTTCATTTTAATTTCTTACAGGCAAAACTGGCAGGTGCCACTCAACGTCAGACAGAATCCTACCTGAAGCCATTGTTAAGAAAACTGAAACATAAGGTCTTATTTTCATGAGAAATTCTTGATACTTGAGATCTAGCTATAACTTAAAGGATGTAGGGGCAAGAGACAAGGGTACTTATTATCAGATCTGGAGAAGCTACAAAAGTGGACAGAAGTCTTGAGATAGTTATGCAATATTCCCCCCTTCAAGTACCTGAGTGTAATTTCAGCATGCCCTTATAAAGCAGCACTATGTTTTTGACAAAGGTTTTGCAGATCTCCCTCTCTCAGCCTACTGTATGTAATGCTAAATAGGTACATGTACATAGCACACAAACAATCAGGGACAATTTAAGTCCTTGTGATAGTTGTGTAGTATTCATACTTACCTGTAATTTCAGGTAGGCCAACGTAAAGCGGTAGTGTCTTGCATGTCTCCTCCCCACACCCTATGCATTGTTAAAAGTTAGGACAAATTTTCGATAGGTGGGTTTTACACTGTAAGTGAGATGGGAAAGGGAATGTGCATGTGTAGTTTAAAAAAATCGCAACTAGTCCAAATTTGTCCATGATCTTTTTTTTTTTTTATCACCAGTAGCCACAGTTTATTTTTGGTAGACCCATTTCAAATTTGCATTACACATTTGTTGACATTCATCTCTAGGCCTACCTCCTCCAAGCAGGGAAATT